GTGGACCCATCGAAGGTATCACTTCCACGCTCCCCAGCCGGTAAGTGCAACCCACCGTCCAAAGAACTGATCTCCATGAAACGTGATTTTCACGGTTTTTAAGAACGCGTGGACATTTGTTGCCTTTGGAGTTTGATGCGTGGGACCCATCGAAGGTATTCACTTCCACACTCCCCAGCCAGGTAAGTGCAACCCACCTTCCAAAGAAGCTGACACTCCATTAACGTGATATTCACGTGTTTTAAGAACGCGTGGATCAAGTTTATTGCCTTTGGCATTTGATGCCTGGGACCCATCGAAGGTATTCACTTCCACACTCCCCAGCCGGTAAGTGCAACCCACCTTCCAAAGAAGCTGACACTCCATTAACGTGATATTCACGGTTTTTAAGAACGCGTGGATCAAATTTATTGTCTTTGGCGTTTGATGCGTGGAACCCATATAAGGTATTCACTCCACACTCCCCAGCCAGGTAAGTGCAACCCACCTTCCAAAGAAGCTGACACTCCATTAAACGTGATATTCACGATTTTTAGAACGCGTGGATCAAGTTTATTGTCTTGCGTTTGACGCGTGGAACCCAACGTGCAATCCAACCATGAATATAGATTTCATAAGATGGCACCGTTGGATTTTCCTTTCTTTTAATTTGGATTTTCTATCATCATATTAAATGACCCTAAATACGATGATCAGAAATCAACTTCCCCCAGTGCTTGATTAAGTGGGCCCTAGTGAAAAAGAAAACCGAGAAGGGAGGGGATTACAAAGTCCAAAGAAAATAAAAAACAAAAAGAGGAGACAGACAAAATAGCCCTGTGAGGCGGTGAGGGTCATGAGTCTCACCCATTACGTAGATTTATCACCCTGGTCATGAGTCATCACCCAGTTACCTAGAACTACCCTCGTTCGGTTTTTATTTTGATAATTTTTAAATAGTATTTTGAAGAAAATTAAATTGAGGGGTGTTACGATATAAAATTTAAAATTAATAAAATATCTTCTATATTTTATTTACTAAAAATCCCTATAATAAATAAAAGTTAACAAAATACTTCCAATCCACCCATTAAATACGGTAGCCAGCCACCACCACTGGACAGTGGTCAGATTCATCGTATCATGCACGATCGATCGGATCCACAGTTTCAGGCTAGATCTATGACAAGACTGATCATGGACAGCAGATCTAACCACATTTGGTCGTCAATATGGCCAAAGAACACCGTCGTTGATGGTCAATGATGACCATATCTTGGTCGTCGTTGGACTGGTTACAACCAGATCTATCGTAGATCTGGTCGAAAAAGACTAGATCGGTGCACTACCAGCAGATTCAACCAGTATTATGCCATTATACCATATTCCGGCCAGCTTTCGGTAGTGTGGCCAGAATCTAGTAAATGTGGGTTGCTGGGGTGTTTTTATAATTTTCTAAAAATATTTGAGGGTATTTATTAAATTAATAAATTTAGGAAGGTTAAAGAAATTGAATATATAGAATAATATTTTAGAATAATTTATTTTTACTATTTAAGTTTATTAGAAATACTATAAATGTGTTCCAATATGAGCCAAATGGACCATTAACTCTCCCATTTTTATTATCATAGTCAGATTCAATTTGGATTGCAGCCATCCCAATATTTAGATTAATTGGGCCCTAGTGAAGAAAATAAAAAAAAGTAGCTCCATGACCCTGTTACTTAGAATCAACTCTCCAAATATTTATCCAAATTAAAAGAAAATCCACAGTGATATGGATTTTGAAATATTATATCTTGGTAAAAGAAACTATATTCATCATTGGGTTTTTGCTGCCAATAAAAAATCCAACAGTTAATGAATTTTAATATTTATATCTTGGTTAAAAAAAAAAAATTATGTTCACCGTTGGATCGCAACATCCAAATTGAAAGAAAATCCAGTGGTGCCATCTTTTTTAATAAACCTTTGGGTTCCACTTATCAAAATCCAAAGAATATAGCAAGAAACCATGACAAGATCTGAAATAACTCGTTGGACCTAATTACTTACATGTTAAGTGAGCTCTCTTTATTTATGTTAATGGGTCCTAATTACTTACATGTTGTCGATATTTTACATGTGAAGTGATCGCAGGTTTCCTCCCTAACCGCCCGACTATAAGCAGAAGATTCATGCCTGAAAAAGGAACTTCAGACTGTGATGAGCTAGAGTCAAATCCTGACAAAGTGTTCCTGAAAACAATCACTGCTCAGCTGCAGACCCTTCTGGGAATTGCCCTTATAGAAATTTTGTCAAGGCATTCAACAGATGAGGTGTACCTTGGAAAAAGAGACACACCATGACAAGATGCTGAAGAACTGCTTTGGACCTGTCATGATGCCGTACACTTTGCTCTTTCCTACTAGTGAAGGTGGTCTTACTGGCAAAGGAATTCCCAACAGTGTTTCAATCTAGAGCTAAACTTTCCAGCTACATATTCGCATTGTTATTATAGTATATTGGTTATAAATTTTCTTGTTTGATCTTGTTATCTAGCTCATTATAACAAACATTGGAACTAGCATGTTACATAATATAGTCTGTCTTGTAAGTTCTATTGAATAAGGAATGTGTAGATAGAAGGTTTGAACATGTTCACAAATCTATCAAAATTTAGGGTGCGCTCAAAGGCAGAGGTTTAAGAATGAAGCACTTCTGATTTGAATGCTTTTGCTTCTGCATTTATGATTAACTTAAATTTTCATGAACATTCTTTTGAAAGAAATTAAATGTCATAATGTTGTATACAATTATATTCACAAATTTGTCTTTCACATTAAATGTTAATGCAGCTATACAACTTGCTTTATATTCGGACCCCCCTCCTTGCCCTAAAACTATAGTAGATTGTGGTAAACTTTTCAACGCCGTAAGAAGCAAGAGTCCTGGTGCTTTTGAGGTATATTGCCTAAAAAACAATTCTTTGTTCACCAATGGGTATATCTGTCTTCAGAAAATAGTTTTTCTTTTAAAGCAAGAACAGTATCTGATGAATTCACTTGGACAATTATGGCGCAGCATCTTTATAAGGGCCTTTGATCAATACACTTGATGTCATAACTAGCCGAAAATTACTGAGTTCTGAAGCTTCTCTGTTCCAAAGAAACACTTCAAAATCTTGTGTACCACCGTTTGTCATGCTCTCAACTATTTTCTTAACATCCAAAACTGTTGGAATGTGGACCCTTTTTTTTTTTTTTTTTTTTTTTTTAATAGTTGACGAAGATTTTTAGGAAAATTTCAGTTTAGGAATTTATAATAGAGAATAATTGATTTTCCTTTTATTATGAGTTGTATTAAGAAAGAAGAATTGACTTAAGACTTTATTTTTAAGTCAAAATAGGAGATTGCATTAAATTAGAAGAGTCTTATTAGGATTTGAAATATGAAGCATAGTAGAAAAAAAATGTCCTATTCTGCTTATAAATACTAAATAGAGAGGTTAGAATCAATTCAATGGTATTAGGGAAGTCACAAGAGACTAGAATAAAAACCAATATATGGTTACTTTTTACGTGCATAGATATCATATTTTTGTAATACGAAATTGACCTAACTCTACTACCATCGGGTGAGGCCAACAGTTAACTAAGACTCTTTGATATATTATAGGGTGGTCACGTTGGGATTTACCCGGCTGTCAATTTTAGAACCAAAAAATTAGCTGACTGGCCGAACACTTTTAGAGTGTGATGAAACTAGTTCAAGAAACGCTGAAATAGACTCCATAGCTCTGCAAACCAAGGTGATATGGTAATTAAAAACACATAGGTCATCCAGAAACAATAGGGTTGCAAAATGGTTGAGGTTAGGATTAACAGAATAACAGAGACAAAAGGATTGAGAAATCTCTATTGTGTGTGACAACGAGAGAGCTCGTGCTGAGACTGAGAGGCAGTAAGATGGGTGTAAAGAGAGAGTAACAGTATCAGAAGTACAAGAACTGTTGACAATATAAACAGTACTGGATATTGGAGAATCTGCATAACAACATCTTGGGCCCATTTCCCATCATCTTCTCCATGCGGTTTGAACAATAGAAAGAAAATTCAATAGATTTTTGCTTGATCTTCAGTAAGTCTGCTCCTTTGGGCTTCATTAAAGATATAAGTAGGAAGGACAGGGAACAAAATGGGAAGAATCAGGTAACAAAGTTGGTGAGAAGCGGGTTGTACAGACTTGATAAGAACAATATTAAAAGTCTCTTCTTCACTACGAGAGAAGTTGATGTTTAGAATGAGGTGGGGTTAATTTGGAATCCTCTTGCGGCCACACTATGTGCCCAATATAAATGAACCGGTCTTACAATAACATCACATTAGTTTGTATGCATAACACCTTTTCGGACTAATGCATGCAATATGATGATAAGATGAGATCCTCCTTTTGGCATTACAATCAAACGCATAATCTCTTTTAAAGCTTAAAACGGAACCGTGCTTCCGCATTATAGTCCAGGGTAGAATCTCTTCTAGTTTTAGACACAATGCTTATGCCGTGCATCCAAACGATACAACTTCAATAACAATATCTGTCAGCACTGTACAACAATTTTGCATTGTGATTTACTGATTTACCGTTAATAAGCAAATTATACACCCAAAAGATCCTCATAATATATCGAATGCATGACCATATCATTATAATTCCATTCCATAACACATCATAATATAAAGAAAGTACTCCATATAACTCGATCATATCAATCCCAATCCCAATCCCATCCCATCCCAAAATTTAGTCTTATTGACTATCAAATCAAAGGTTATTATCATTTATGACTAACCCTTACATCAAGGTTACTATAGAGTAACCAAAATACAAGAGTTTGCATTCAGAACCAGAAAATTGCCATCAATATAAATCATTCAAGTAGCTGAAACTTGAAATGAAGATGAAATGCGTTGCTTCAAGGAAATTGATATACCATCAAAAGAAAAATTATCTTATCTATAGACTGCCTATACAGCTGCAAATACAACCTGCGCTCACAATGAACAAAACAGAATTTTAAGCACAAAGTAAACATATGTATACACTGAAAATTCCATCCACTTCGTTCACACCAGAACTTATATCTTCTCAATGAGTAATTAGGGCTGTAGAACCAAGATGCAGAGCTAACATTGGCTGATTTGTTCAACAACTTCACAACACAAATACACAAACAATTTCCAGGAAAAGACAGAGGAGTGGAGCTCAAGACCTGAAGAAAACAATCTGAAAAGTCGTCTAAAAACTGAACACAGAGGAACAATTTGAGAAATTAAAAGAAGAAGATTTGTGAAGAAGTTCTAGCTTTATTTGCTGGTCTTTTGATTTTCCATTTCTGCACTTTTTTCTACAGCCCTTTTTTCTATTTCTTTGTTTTCGTCTACTTACAGAGGAAAACACACAGCCTTACATATTTTCTTAAGGCCCAAAGCTAAGCCAATAAGTGGTTTCTCCCACATCACATGTTTTAACTCAAGTCAATCAAACTAACTAAACAATTAACTTGACTAAACTGCAGTAAAAATAAAATAAAAACTAAACTGCACATTAACATTAACAGTTACCTTGGGGGATAGACAATCACCTTGATTTGGGGTGAGAAGCAGATTGTTTTTAGGGGAAGACAATGGCATTGGGTTGGAGGGGAATGACTTCGTTACACAATGCATGTTTCTCAGCCAGTAGTGTTGCTTCTTTTTCTTCAGGACTGAGCTCCAATAGGGTCCTGCATAAAACAACAAATAAACTCAATTAGAAATTGATACAAACAAAACTCAAAATTTTGAAGACATCGTTTTAATTGAGTTTTACCACACAGCATTGAGATTTTTATTTTTGGTTTGTATATACCAATGAGTTAAACATATTAAAAGGATTAGGAAAGATCCTAGCTCTTCCTTTCTTTTTCTAAATGCAACTTCACCACATTGATCATAAATTAATAACCGCTAAGAACCACTTAAGTATGAGTCTATTCCTAGAACTGATTCATAATAATAAAATAAAATAAAAAAATCCCTAATAAGAGTTATAGAGGAGGAGCAATGCAAGATTTAGCACAGACACTCATCCCACGTCTATGCCCACCCACTTATTATAATTTGATATGCACAATAAGTTTCACTCACCAAACAAATTATTTATTAAAGAAAACATTTTCAGTGAAACAAAATTTTCAAGTCAACATTCAGGAGAAGGGTATAAGATCCAGGAAGATCCGAGAGTTACTGGTTGCAGATATTCTCTTCTCTGTCTATCCGCTAGGCACTCAGAGTAGAAGTTAATAAAAAGCTCTGTATGTTGAACAACATCCACAAGTTGATTACTTGAATCCCCCTATTGATGGAGAGAACATTCAAACCTGAAACCACTCACCAGAATGCTTATTTATCCATTCATTTCCAGTTGACAACACAGCACTGATCACATTTAAATCGGTCATAGAAAATAACTCGCCTCCACTAGCCTCCACTTTACAAAAATCCTTTTACATAGCACATCATAATATAAACAAAAGGAGCTTCATATTATATCAATTTTGCATTGTGATTTATTGATTTACCATTAATAAGCATATTATACAGCCAAAAGGATCTTCATATTATATCAAATGCATGACCATATCATTATAATTCCATGGTGCGATTTCTAGGTTTTTTTTTGTAGTTGTCTCTGAAATTAGTTTAGTCACTGGCCAGAAACCCAATCTCTTTTACTATTTTTTTAGCTTCGTGTCTTGTGATTATGCCTGTTTTTACTTTTTAATTGACGACTGGATTGCAGCTATCCAATTAAAAGAAAATCCAACGGTCAGTATAGATTTTGATACATATAAAAGAAAATTCTTTGTCTTACTTCAATCCATACAGGCACAACGACCACGCAATGTTAGGAATATTAATTAAAAAATATCAATTATAAAAGGGAAAGATTTATATTAGCCACACTTCATGGCAAACGGTTAGTATGATTCGGAAATAAAAAAGAATTATAGCAGAAGAAACCATGACAAGATGCTGACGAACCGTGTTGACTTTGCCCTTTCCAACCGTGCTTCAATCTAGAGCTAAATTTCCAGCTTCATATTCGCATTATATATGGTTACAAATTACTTGCAAATTAAATAACGATGGTTCTATCATCTTCTCAATTGATTTGAGGATTCTTTTCCTACCCCTGCTAAATTCTATCATCTCTTTCTTGCTGTTATCCAATCCAATGTGAAAAGTCTCGGGATGGTTCTAGCAGCTTCTTCTATTCCAATTTTAAAGATGCCATAATTTTTATCCTTTCCGTTCTGCTATTACTACTTCTCCTACCACAATTTTGATCTCATCATCAACACAAAACCTACAAGACTCAAAACCACTCAAATTAACCTCTACCACAACGAGCGCAGCCTGGAACAAAGTTGACACAACATGAATATTTTGTATTAAAGATAACTGACGACTGAAGGAATACCAGTGACATTGGACGACTAAAGGCTTGTATTGACTTGAATGTCCTTCTCTTTACTTGATAATCTTATTTTTTTTATAATTTTATCCCTTATTAATAAAATTTTAAGACAATGATACCTTATTTTGAAATTCATTAACATGAATTTGCCATTACATTTTACCCCTAATTACTTAAATATTTGGACAAGGCCTTGTATTTATAACAAATTCCAGGCCACTTAGGCCACCGCCACCATCACCCATCGACCGACATCACTAGAATGCACGTAAGACGGGATGATCAATTTACATGGAATCGCAAAAATCAACATTTAGAAATTGAAATCTCGGTCTGACGATTGGTTACGACGACGATTGACCCAAAAAAAAAAAAAAACCTAGGAAAGACGACTGAAGGAACATCGGCGACAGTGGGCGACTGAAGCCTAAAAGCTAGTATTAACTGAAGCTTAAGCAGTTACGGTTAAAAGCAGCCATTGGCAACTTTTTACGACGACGATTGAGCCAAAAAAAAATGTTGAAAGCAGCGACTGGCAACTGGTTACGAAGACGACTAAGAAAAAAAATACCTGAGAAGGACGAAGACTGAAGGAATACCAGTGACGGTGGACGACGACTAAAGGAATACCAGTGATAGTGAACGACTAAAGGCTAGTATTGACTTGAATGTCCTTCTCTTNACTTGATTAATTAGGTGCATTTAAAGTCAAGTGTTTAAGCATTCGAAGTTCAATCTCAGAGCTTTCTGGAAATGAAAAAACAAACTCAACAGCATATCTTCATTCTAAAACATGGCATAACTGAAACACCATGATACTACCAAATCCAGAAGTTTTTACAGATAGAATAAGTGACGCATAGCCTATTGCATAATATTCAACAAAAACATACGACTGCAAGAACCTTTCTTATCAGGATCTTCACATTTGTTGGATGACTCATCATAGCAGTTCCTTTGTAAGCATTATCCAGTTAATCTTGATTTGAATTTCAAGTCACCGAGAATCCCACACTACTAGGTGTTGTGACTCTTCCTTGGTCCATGATAGAATAACATTGAGGCCAGCAAAAATAAATTCTCCTAATCCACAAAGACCAATACAAAGTCAGGAACAGGTGAATAAACACATATGCCCAACTGGAATTGTATATTACCATGCATATTGATCCTCGGAGAACTTCTAGAGAAATTTGATGTTGAATTTCCGAGTTTTGGTGGCAAAGCAAAAGCCTTTTGTCTTATCATTTCTGATTTCATATAAACAAATTATAAGGTAAAATCCCAGATTATTTAGCGCAAAAGAGCATATTAAAACTGCAATAATCAAGCCCCAAAAAGAATTATTGAATAAACAAGCTTAAAAAATTAATGACTGGAGTAAAGCTTGGAGATTAATGGTTTGTAAATAATTTGGTACACTTATAGCTTCTTTATCTTCCAATTTCCCAAAATATGAATAACGAACGAGAACCTAAATTAAGAGCATCAAATAAATACAAAAACCTATATTTTAGTCTCAAAACTCGAATCAAATTAAAATAATCCCTCAAATAAAAAGATGTAATTTCTATAGATCAAAGAGATACTTATAATTAGATAGCCTATAAATAGAGAAGAAAGCTTAAGAGGGAGAATTTGAATCGTCCATAAACTATCCCCTCACAAAACACAGTGAAAATTCATCCCTCTTTGAGAATATTTTATAAAACAAACAAGGATTGTTTTTCCCAGGCATCTTTTCATTTTAATTCACAATTTCCGCAACTACGATGACCCAAATCTTGAACACAAAAACAAACTACTGTAGAAGAAAAAGGGAGAAAAGAGAACTAACACTCCAAGTTTGGAATCGCGGCCAAATGAAACCAGTCAGAGCAGCCAGATCGAAAAGGCAACAACACTATCACTAAAATAAAACCAAAAAGAGTAAACGGGTATCACCATCACAGAGAGAGAGAGAGAGCTGAAACAGATTGTGGGTATTTGTTCTTTTACTAAGTTTTACTTGCTTTCTGGTTTGGGATTGGGAAAGAGAGTGCGACCTTTCGTCTACACGAAAAAGTATATCTTATTTATACTTTTTTTCTTATTATATTATTAAAATAGTGCATTTTTATTTTTATTTTTTTTCTAGATCTTCTTTTAATTTGAATACGAGCAATCCAACGGTGAATATAATTTTTATTGTTTTTAACCAAGATCTAATATATAAAAATCCAACGGCAAACATAGCTTCCAGTAACTGTAAATCTGATCCTATCGGTAAAACAATTTCTTTATTATACATATTAATATAGTAAAAGAAACATAAAATACAAGTGGTGGTAAGTACAAAATCAAATTAACTAACTATCATAACTTACTAATTACTAAAACAACAACAGCAACTCAAAAAACCAGTAGTTTCAACTTTTGTACCACATGTATAGAATTAGAATTATCAATATAGCAGCATGAGAACGTAACCACTATCACCTTATCTCTAAAGAGACACTAACTACCTATAATCTCAATTTGCTCCAGATCATGTTCCATTAGGTTATCTCTTACTTCAAGTCCTTCAATGTCTTCAATTGGAGCAAGAACTGGTTCTGAGTTTTCTTGGTTTTGATTGACCCAATTGATGAAGATGGTAGGAAGTGATTGTAGAGTGTGAAGAAGGCAGTTAAAGAAAAGTTTAGTCAAACTCCATAGAAATGCGTAACATGGAGATATGATAATGAGAAACAAATAGACTACTAAGAAATGAGAGGGTGGTAAAATGAATGACGCTAAGGTTGACAGAGCTAGAAGAAGAGAAAATTTTCCAGGACGCAAGAAGATGGGACGGCTCATACTAAGAGGAAGTGTGATGGGTGTGAAAAGGAAAAGTAATAATAAGAGAAGAGCAAGAGTTAGTGAGAGGATAAATAGAAATGGGTATTGAAGAATGTTTTCAGCTTGAGGTTTCCTTAATAGAAAGAAGATGAAAATATTTAGTAGCGGTAAGGGAAGAAACCTCAAATCAATGGAGAATTGCATGCTTTCTATTGTTGATGATATTTGGATAGAGATGAGGAAGAAATCAAGTATGGAGCTGATCTTGGACGTTTTTGGTTTGAAGAATTGAATGCTTTTGTTTGGGGTTGAGGCCTTTTATGAATTGATTCAGTGAGGGAAAGGGAGTTTATAATGAGAATTGAGAGTAAGTTGAAGTTGAAGTTGAAGTTGAAGTTGAAGTTGCCACAACCAAAAGAATTGAGAGTAAGTTAAAGTTGAAGTTGAAGTTGCCACAACCAAACGAATTGAGACTAAGTTAAAGTTGAAGTTGAAGTTGCCACAACCAAACGAATTGAGACTAAGTTAAAGTTGAAGTTGCCACAACCAAAAGAATTGAGAGTAAGTAGGCCCTAGTGAAAAAAACACGAAAATCAATAAAAAATCAACTTTACCTGAACTTTGCCACAAGCACGGTACTTTGCTACAAGCATGGTTGTCAATTTTATCTCAACTTTGCCACAAGCACGGTACATTGCCGCAAGCACGATTGATTTTTTATTGTTTTCGTGCATTTTTCACTAGGGCCTACTCTCATTATAATCCAACTTCAACTTCTTTATGCTTTTCACATCATTTTGTGCATACTCATTGGATGATGGTAATTTAGGATAGTTATAAATTATAGCAAGAAACCATGACCAAAATCTAAAGAACCGCGTTGAAAAGTAGTAAATAAACTAATGGACAAATTGAACTAATGGACAAATAATGACAACTTAAAATAAGTTGCAGTTTCAACCTTTGTTCCTCATTTATACTAATTGAAAAGTTTAGAATTAGATTTTCAATATAGCAACATGATAAAGTAACCACGTTCCCATCATGTATGCCTTCGTAAAGCCTTCCACTTTATTCAAA